TACTCAGGTATGGGCCAATAAGAAGCGGACGTAAACGAAATAGTTTTAAAATTCTGACGTAAACAAACCAAAAGACGGACGTATGTGAACTTCTTTTTCCATGTAAATAGGAGTCGCATGGTTTTTCAAACTAACAGCGACTACTTGAATATATCGCATATAATATATTTATTTTATTGACAATATTGATCAGTATCCACGATATTTGATTAGGAAATGATCCAACATTTTATTACAGGCCGTATCCCTGCTATATTATGTATTTACTTGAATACGCTATTGCGGCAGCTTGTTTTCTGGATCGACTTCCTTGTTATTGAATTCATCAGCTCGAATAAAGAAGCAATAAGATTCCGGTGATTGAATAGTTGAAATTGACCAATGGCGTTTCATATTGGGACAGATTCTTAAGCATGGTTATGAACATTTACTTGTTTTCCTAATTTCGAGTTTATTTGGTAGTTTTCAGTAAAGTTTCGAAAAACGTCCCCGAGAATAAAACAGACGACGAAGCTAAAATCAGCTAAGATCTCATGAAATGGGAGAAATAGGATTAAAAATGCATCAAACGTAATCAATTCAAACTATGTGATTATGCAGTGGATTTTCAAAACAGATAAAAAGTCAAGAATTGAATTTAGCGTTAGATGCATATTAGTAAAGTATTGATTGCATATAAGCGATAAAATATACAGCAAATATTTTAAATCATTATCATATATTGAAAGCTAAATTCAACATGTACCATAGTTACCACAACAAACATACAAATAATATGAATACTGCGGATTATAAGTATTGTGCATATAGCACTGAAAAGGGGTTAATTTGAAGCATCAATGCACTAGATTATAAAGACGAACTTGGAAAACTATAATGAATATATTATATTATGCGGAAAAAGGCATCTGCTAATATATAAATTGCATTTCATTCATACACTTTAATCAATAAATGATAAGTAAATTAATTGAAGAAGAAACCGCTTGAAGAATGCACGAGACAATATATAATACCCAGATAATATCCAAACTGAATAGGAATAATAAATCAACCTAATTTTTATTGGCCACTGACTGTATATAAAACTCGCTTGCAATGGCATATATTATTGGTGACAAATTTCACATAAGAAGGATATCAAATTCCACATTCTCCAATTTGCCAAAAACTAACTTCAAATGGTAGACAAGCGAAATCAGAGCTGAGGAGTTGGTGTTAATGTAAGGTTTATAAACTCTGTTTTTTAGCCGTTGAGAAAAGCAGCCGGAATGTTCATCAACCAAGAGTAAATTTTCTACCTACATATCAGTGTTATGATTAGAATTCTTTCAGAAATGATACAAACAATTATAGGGTGTTGAATAAAACCAAACCATTCAAAATAAATTTCTTCTGCATCAGTTCTAAGCATATCTCAATGCCATATGTGAATTATATTTAAAACAACTATATGAATTAAATATAGTAAGTAATGCAGGTGCTCATTATAGTATACAAGTATACAAAATTCACTCGGTGGTAATACAAGCACCTATGAAATGTCAAGTATCTTATACAATTTATAGTAAGATTGCAAACATAACCTACTAGCATGTCCTTTAATGGTAACACAAGGAACTGTTCTCTGTCATATACAATCAAATCACTTAAAATTAATCTTCACTGCATCGAGTATAAACAGATTCTTGTTCTTCATGTCAATCATCTCCCATTGATTCTTCTTGAAATCAAACTTCTCCATGCTTCCTGAACTGAAAAATACAGAGAAGATTATTTCAGTTCTGCAAGAAAAATGGTTCGTGAAGTGATTGCTAGGCTACTCATTGAAAAAATATTCAATTTCTATGTTGACTCGACCTTATATGATAAAAAGTATGAATGACCGGATACTGCAGGTGAAAGACTCTGATTCAAAATTCTTAGTCAGCAATATGAATATACTGCTTCTTCTATCCGCACGAAGAGTTAAGCTCAAGCCAACAGCGAATATCGATCCAAAGTTATGAATATATTCACAAAAAATGTAAAGATATCTGTTTATTGGTGTAAGCGTCGACAATATAGATAGACTCTGGCTAGATTGGTCCTAAGCTTGTAGTGAGGAATACAGGCGAACAAATAGTTATTTGTAAATAGGTATTTCGGAAAAAATCTCCAGAAACAGAAGACACTATTCCCCACTATGTTGCAATAAATTTCAATAACTCTACCTTTTCCTTACTCCAATTGCGTAGATATTTGAATCAATCACAAAAGCACCGAACCAGCTTCGTTCAGTTAACATGGGAGTTACCATGGACCACACGTTTGTTGAAATATCATATCGTTCAACAGTTGTCAAGTGATCGTTTGCCCATCCACCTGAATGAAATAAACAGTTTGTTAATGTCTGCTTGCAATTTTGTCTGAATGATAAAAAACAATGTATATCTATCTATTGACAATTTCACCTATACAAGACAATAAATAAATAAAGAGGGAATAGTGAACTAACATGTTGGCAGGTAACAACTGCAAGGTGATAAATATAATGCATAAAATTTAGCTAGCCTGAACTGAAGATTTTGGAACCTGGTATGAATGTCAGAATATCGCTCCGAATTCCAACCCTAACTAGTTAATATTTCTGGTAAGACGGACGCAACAGCACCGTAAGTATTTGTGAGTTTACAGTTTACACGACAATCGGATTGACCTTTGCATTCGTGTAAATATATAGGTATACAAACATTTGAACATGATTTGTCACATGACAATTTAATTCTGCAATCTTGCAGAAGAACATTAATGGAATATTAGCAGTTCATGACGATGCTTAAACATAATGGCATTGCATTTGATATCTTGAATCATTGAAATTTTTCTGGTTAATTGCTATTTTAAGTAAAACCAAATATTTTTTCTCGAGTTTCCTACATTTTTAGCAACAAACACCAACCTACCTAGAACATATATTTTCCCTTCATTTTCAACAGCTGCAACATAGCTCTTTGCCTCATTCATGGATGCAACAAATGACCAAGTTGATGATGTTGGGTCAAATCTTTCTACTTGGTTGGTCCAACGACCTGATACCTTTCCACCAATGCTGTACATACAACCTGGAATTAAACAAGGATTATTACTTTCAAGTGTTTTCTGCATTCTGGTATTCGATGAAAACTTAGGATAGTTTGTGAAAGCAACCACTGATACGAAACAACCTACTGGTCTGTTAAAGACAGGATTTTTGCCTGTTTGGTTTAGACAAAGGGTTTGCAACAGGCAAAGCTATTTAGTGCCGCAAAGCTATCTAGTGTGGCCCTTGACAACACTTAGATTTTCCCCCATCACGCATAAAGAGCTAATCCGACACTTTATGTTTAAAAAGTCGCCCACATGGGTAAACGTACATGTTTTTATGCTCTTTTTGATGCGTTGAATACTTCGCTGTTTTGTACGATGCCTTTATTACTGTGAAACAGAGCATTTATTGGTCCAGCTAGATTTCTTAAGTTGGTTATATGGCCCAGCGACAATTCCATTTATTACCTATTGTATGACTGCCTGTTTCGAGCCAGTTCAATGTATATGACATTTATTGGCGCTCCCGAAGTATGTGAACCACGATGGCGGACACCGGAACTTAGTATGTGTACCAGGTTACGGTTAGGCCATAATTTATTCCAATTTTCCCTATTTTAGTTCTATTATTCGAGGACACAGGATAGGATTTACATATTTATCCCGGAGGAGAGTAAAGTCGATAAGACGGCTTAATCATATGGCGAACCACGGCTTCTCGTCCGGTTACCAGTCCATGTCGGGTACCGTTATGGGTTAAGTTTTAATTATTTGTTTTCGGTAGCATGGACTTGACTTGATGGTGGACGAAGCCGTAACCGACCAGAGGTTACGTGAACCACCCTACGGCGGCGAGGAATCCAGCAATTCTCTCGCACATGATAATCCCTGCATGGAATTCGAACCTGCGATCCCACGATAGGTAATCAGATATGCAGTGGCTATCCAAATATTTGTACCTGAAATTATGGCCTAACCCAATCTGGTACACATACTACGTTCCGGTGTCCGCCATCTTGATTCACATATTTCGGGAGTACCCATTTATTTATAAGACAACACCTTCTAACCTCCAACACCCAGTGCTGTTGAATGTACACTGTTGAGATTTTTGTCTTTCACTTTTTCCCATTTGTTGCTTGATGGCTCGAACTTTTCAACTGATTTTGAGTAATCACCGAAAGAACCAACAACGTAGAGGTTTCCTGTAAACAATTTATATTTCAGACCAATGATAGAAAGCAAATGATACTTGTAAAATAATAGAAGATAAAGTAAAGAACATATGATGTCATAATAATAGATAACACAATGACAAAACATTCACTTAAAAAATAAATCTTTATGGGATATATTCAAACATGTAAATAGTAATCTTAAAACAGGAGTGTTTGTGTATTGTATATTAAACTCAAGTCCTTTAGTCTTTCAAGTCCGGATCTGCGTGTTTTAGCAATGTAACTCAATCCTAATTATTTTGGCAATTTTTGTCTTGGCATTTATATCTTATCTTGTCTGAACTCAAATATATGATCTTACGAAGCAACTACTATTTCTTACAGAGATAGATTGTGTTATAATTCTTCAATGGTGTTAATATGAAAATAGAATTTGTATTTGTACACTTTGATTAAGTGACGGGTTTTACAAATCAGAAAAAATATCAGTATTTTGTGTACAAAGCGTTCAATTGAATTTTGGGTCACCCACAATGAAGTGATATAGTTACAATACAAGGCTGAACTGGAATTAGATACCAAATGCTATTAAAATATGTTTTTCATCAAATACTTAAACAGACCAGTACTAAGAATTCTTGAGGTAACTTCACTCCAAACAAGACAGCAACAGGATATTTGAAAAACTCAATTACTAGCCGTTTGGCAGAGGTAACAAGATATTGACTAGCAAAAGAATTTTGAAGCAATTCTTACCAGATAAAACAGCAACAGTAGGACACGTCCCATGCTTATACAGCATATCATTCATTCTCTCCCAAGTAGCTTCATGATCTGAGTATTTCAGTCGATGAACAAGTTGATCTTTCATGAGAACATAAATGTAGTCACCAAGAGAAGCAGCAGAAAAGTTAATTCCTGATCCAGGCATGTTCTGGAAAATATCAATAAACAAGATTACATTGAAGAAATGATTGTTTAAATGTAGATAGATGCGTAGGAGTGGTGGGATGAGAGAATCAAATACCACTCAAATAATTGTCCTAAAAAGGCATTGTCCACGGATGGCACATCATGCCAAGCGTTAGGAATACGCTCTCCACCTCATCTCTGATTACCCTGCGTGGGGTCGTCGGTTAAAATTCCATGACAGAATGGTTATGTACAGGAGGATTGTTGGACTCATGGCCGATGTAGGGTGGTTCACGTTACCGCTGGTCGGTTACGGCTTCCTCCACCATCCAGTCAATGCTTGCAAAAAACTAATCCCATGCCCGACATGAACGGGTAAACGGACAAGACGCCATGGTTAGCCATATGATTAAGCCATCTTATCGGCTTTCCTCTTCCTTGGGATAAATATGTAAATCCTATATTACATACGTACAAGTCAGGTATCTGACTTTAAATTTATCCCGAGAAAGGGAAAATCAAAGCTGATAAGATGGCCAAGAACAGTCGAAATAAAATAAGTAACGCATTATTACAATATGTGGAACTACCACAACCGTATCTTGCAATCCAATCGCATAAAAACACAAGCTTTGAGCATTTATTTTATCATCTGGAGTAATAATGAAGACTAATGAATGATATTTTCTATGTATAATACGATTAGACTGAGATACCCTAGTTGACGGTTGTCAAATACTAACCTGCATTTTCGTCCAAGCATTATTCCGGGGATCAAAGAATTGCAGGCTCTTTGAATTAAGATCAAACACTACAACTGTAAAAAAGAAAGTTGGTATCAGGAATGAAAAGCAAAGACAACTACTATAGCATCGTTCGATTCAGGTCCAGACAGGTATATAGATCGTTTATTTTGTAAACTCCATAATACACACTAATTAACCAATCCATAGTTACGTTAGTTTCTAAGTTCTAGGTAAAAAATGGCATTCTGTATTGTCTACATCTTAATTCAACTTACTTGCCTCCTTTTCTTCTTGTTTTTTATTTGAAGCGGAGTGAACACTTGAAGCACCAACGTTCAAGCTGTCCATCACAGATATTAGTAGAGCGTGAGAACATTCATGACATGACTTTACCATTGGCTGTAACAACCAAAGTGTGTTATGTTATTCCATTGAATGTTGAATGATATAAGAAAAGGAAATTGATTTCGCAGAAATATAGAATAACGTAGACAAATCATTAGTAAGACTGTGGAGTATACACTCGGTCCTAATCCCATTTAAAAACTACTCCGGGTTAAAGAAAATTTAGTCTTGTTTCCACCTGCAAACTTAAAACAAAAAAACATATTTTAAAAACAAAAACATTCGCTTTGCCTATGCTATCTTTCTTAAACTGAGCGCTGTGAATACTGAAGTAACTTAACATTCTTTTGAGTTTTATTCTAAAATTTTGACTCTGATCATCGACAATATAAGGCTGATTTTCCGGCATCAAGATATAAAGATTTCAACTCCGGCTTTGAATCATGACTCCTGGTAATTCGAAAATAAAGATATCCACAACGCCGACCCCACAGCGCTCGTCAATATTAGTCAACTAACATCCCAATAGTATATTCAAATATCCTAGTAAAAGGGAATGGTTTCGATATGTAAATTTTATAGTAGCCGACCTCGTTCTCAACAAGGAATCTTCTATAAGTCACCGGTACTTTATGCAAATCAATGTAGTTGTTCAATTTCTTCAGAAGTTTTTTGCGATTTCTTTGCTCATGTTTTATCCAGGATACCAACGCCTCTAGCTTGACACTCTCTAATGCCTAGAAAAAATATAGAACATAGGAATATTCAGTTGTATCTATTAATTAGACTATTGAATTGACAAATGCCCAGCATTCATGTAGTAATGTATTGAAAATCCTTGCTTGAATATTTATTCAATTAAAAAAACTAGTGGCTAGCAGGCTAAACCAGGCATTCAAGGGCAGGAAGGCCACTCCTATCAGCTTAACCGAGGTGGTTAAGCCAGGTAGTTTCTTATAATTGAGTGGCTGCTTGTATCATGGAAAGTTTACTTTGGTCAGCCTGAACTTAAAACCTTCCCCCAATGAAATGAGTGACTACTTGTCGTTCAGAATGAAAGAGTGAAACAAACCTAACAAAACATTACAAATACCTTGTTATCTTGTGACTTGATCAATCTAACAAACTCCTTTTCCTCTATTTCATTGAACTCATCAAGAACTGCAATTTCTTCAAATTTATCCAGCATGAACTTCTCGCATTTTTCCATCAATTCTTTGTAATTGTACAGGTTTGCGATTCTTTTTGTCACAAAGAATGATTCTGCAGATGATTCGAGATTTTCTTCAAGTAAATCAACGATGCCTCCACAGACATCTGTTATAATAAAACAAACTGTTATACATATTGCTATTTGACTGGGATTTTTTGACTAGGTGCCAAAAATTTTGCCAATTTAGACTGGAGGGCCATGTAAGTGTGACGTAAAAACTTACATTTTATGAGCAATATTTACAGTGTTACAAAAGCAAAAGTGGAATACAATGAGCCCCGTGCCAAAACGAAATTTAATCGCAATCTCAACAAATTCCTTGAGCTATTATCAGCCAAAACATCAAAATTTGGTTTTAGTTTGATTCTGGCAGGATCAGGCGGGTCAGATTGAATTACCCAACAGGGCAGATTTGGCCCGCGGGCAGTAGTTTGCCCATGTAAGTTCTAGAGAGAACATAACTTCTATGCAAAACGTCCCAGATTACCGAAACTTTTAATTGCAATCATCGAATCACATAAATAGAAGTCGAGCGTTAAAATAATTTTTTTTTCATTTACGTAAAAGTAACCATGTTTGACTTGAAAATTGATAAATAGTGACATGACAAATTAACTGAATTAGATCTGAAATAACATGTCTGTATTCAGTGAAAAATGGCAACTGGGCTCAATGAGAACTGGCCAGGATAACAAAAGAAATGCAGGCACTCGCAAACCAAATAGCCCCATTTGCAGGGGGATTGTCCAGTTAATTTAAATCACAGAGGAATAAGTGACTTTTGGTACAACCCAGAAGAAAGATCTATTTTGAATCCTCACCTTTCAACTGTAGTAATTCAGCCACATACATCAAAGATTCAGCATTTGCATCAGTAGTAGACAATTCACCAGTGTAAATATAATCTATGCATTGTTGCAAGGATAATGGATCAACTTCCTTCATTTCCACTTTACCAGATGCTGTCTCAGCATTCTGAAGTGTGATAATACCAATGATTAAAACCACATCAACAAGGGTAACAGTACCAACTCAACTCAAACAGTTAACCATTGAGATATCACATAAACATCAACAATGTATAAACACAACTCACATTGTGAGCCAGCATTGCTTTGAAATAATCAGATGCTACAGATATAATATTCTTATGAACTGGGATTTCTTCAGAGCCAGCTATGATCATGAAATCACAATGATCTCGAGTTTCCTTTCTGCTTCTGCAAAATTAAATTTTAAATCAGCATGGCACTAAATGTGTTTTCTATTCCGCACAGGAAATCCTTGTGTGAATTTTCAAGTTTTGATACGGGGCTGGGAAGCTGATTTAAAATCACTATGGTTCTAGCTCTAATTCCAGAGCTACAATTATCAAATGTGACTCAAAATCTGCTGGTTTATTTTTCGCTTCTGAGCTTTGAAGTAATTAATGTTTTTTTTTTGTATGAGCACTACCATAACACATTAATTCAGATACAGTTATGCGAGAGTTAAATCTGTGTTATGGGGACTTTTAGATTGTAAAATTGAAACTTCAATTTCATACAAGAAAATCAAAATTGAAAAAATTATAAGATGCCTGCGGATTTTATTTGTATGAAGTTATTTGTATGAGATATGAAAAATTATAAGTCTGGAAAAAGAATTAGATGGTTAAAAGTTGGAGCCACTAATTTTCTGGTAGCACAGGCTTCAGCTCCATTTCCTACCTCCATCCACAAAAAAACACTGTGGCTACATGCAGTGACGCAGCCAGGGGGGGGGGTTCGGGGTCGAAACCCCCGCCCCCTTTTGAATTTTCTGAAAAGTGAAAAAGTTGCCGATAACACGTGCAATTGCCTTCTGCTAAAATCGCCGTTCGTTTTCATCAACGCGGCGTCTAATTTAGGCCGTGAACGCCCTTCACATTGGTGTTTATTCTCTTTAAATCACAAATTTGTGCCGCGGGAACAATGATAATTATTTTATTTTTGTACTCGCACGGAAATGTGAAAACTGAAAAAGCGTGCAATTGCCTTCTGCTAAAATCGCCCATGTTTTCATCAGCGTGTTATTTAGGCCGTAAACGCCCTTACGTCGGTTTTTATTCTTTCTAAATCATAAATTTGTGCCACGATAAACATGATAATTATTTTATTTTTGTACTTTGCATGGAATTGTGAATTCGTGAGTTATTATACGTTCATCGGTGGCGAAGTTCTAAAGACAAAAGGAGTAAAACCGCGATCTAAATTTCATTGAAAAGCGACATTATGAAATACTGAAAATAAAACCGCAAAAAAAATATAAGTTTTGTTGAGTCCCGCGACAGTCTAAAAACGCTTTCTAGTCGCAAAATTTCGTGTGCCTACGGCGCACAATATGTTTGGTCGCCGTTTAGGAACATACCGTCACTAAAATCGAAACACGGTTAATTGTGGGTGGGATTTGCCTTTCATCCATTACTTTATAATTGTCGTAGAAAATTTTCGTGTTATCATTAAACAAGGTTGAAAACGCGATTTTTTCCCGGTTTGTGATGATATATAAGATAATTAATCCGGAGTCAATGTTACAAGCACATCTCAAATTTGTCGAATTTGCAAAATAGAAAAAATACGGATCAAAACAATATATAATAGGCGACGGGCAGTTACCACAAATTTTTATGTCTGCAAATGGCCGAGGTATTTTAAAATTGTGAATTGTAAAAAATTGTTTTGTTTTGTCGACGCAAAC